TGCAGCATCGTTTCCATGGTAACACACTCCTCACAGCTAGGCCGCTCCAGCCTTAGGGCAACCAATGCAAACGTAAATACAGTTATAATCATATTATTATAATCACTTCTGTACAGGAATGCTGGACCATTGTTATCTCAAAAAATGCAGCATATCACAGGTGGAGTCATTACACCCAAATGGTTATTTGCAAGTTGTGTTTCCTCCACCATTCAAAAAAAATTCTAATTGTCTCACATCTATATAAATAAAATGTAATGTTTGTGGGATTAACATAACTGAAAAACCACTGGATGAATTGACACCAAATTTGGACACAATACACCTATCAGGCCAATGTGTGACCATCACTCATAAAAACTCTGAAAAACACAGGAGAAAGGACTTAAAATCCAAAAAAGCAAAAGACACTATAGCGCATGCACAAAAACAACTCCCCTGGCAAACAAAACACACAATATCATATCCACACTTTATTCCGGACTACAGCTCCCAGTATCCCCTAGACCAGGTCCTTTAGGAGAGAAGGATGATCCAAATGCACTGCTTCCAAGATGCAAGTTTTTTTTCTCCTTGGATTTCTTTGAGAGCCTCCCAATTCCGGCATATTTCCAATTTCCTATTCCTGGACTGCAGGTCCCAGATAGATAGATTAGATCAGTGCTTCTCAACCTTCCTAATGCCGTGACACCTTAATACAGTTCCTCATGTTGTGGTGACCCCCAATGATAAAATTATTTTCGTTGCTACTTCGTAACTGATTTTGCCACTGTTATGAGTCGTAATGTAAATATCTGATATGCAGGAGATATTTTCATTCACTGGACCAGTTTTGGCACAAATACCCAAAACATTCAAATTTGATACTGGTGGGGTTGGGGAGATTGATTTTGTCATTTGGGAGTTGTAGTTGCTGGGATTTATTGTTCACCTACAATCAAAGAGCATTCTGAACTCCACCAAATGGAATTTAACCAAACTTGGCACACAGAACTCCCATGACCAACGCAAAATACTGGAAGGGTTTGGTGGGCATTGACCTTGAGTTGTACTTCACCTGCATTCAGAGAGCACCGTGAACTCAAACAACGATGAATCTGGACCAAATTTGGCACAAATACTCAATATGTCCAAATGTGAACACTGGTGGAGTTTGGGGAAAATAGACTTTGACATTTGGGAGTTGTAGTTGCTGGGATGTATAGTTCATCTACAATCAAAGAGCATTCTGAACCCCACATGATAGAATTCGGCCAAACTTCCCATAAGGAGCCCCCACGACCAACAGAAAATATTGTATTTTCTGATGGTCTATGGTGACCCCTCTGACACCCCCTCATGACCCCCACAGGGGTCCCGACCCCCAGGTTGAGAAACACTGGATTAGATGGAGATAGGTAGGTAGAGAGATCGATCAGGAGGACTGCTGGGAATTGCAGTCCAAGAATAGGCAGAGAACGAAGAAAGGGGAGAAAGGGGAATGGAAAGAAAAGGGGGGGGGGGAGAAAGAGAAGGAAGGAAGGAGAGAATGAAAGAAAAAAGGGAAGGAAGGAGAGAGAGAAAGGAGAGAAAGAGGGAAGGTTGGCCACAGCAATGCGTGGCAGGTACAGCTGGTAGAAGATAAAATTCAGTAGAGACAGTCTGGAGTACAGTGACTGGAATCATGGGAGTTGGAAGAGACCTCAAGGGCCATTCAGTAGAGCCTCCTTCTTGCAGGCAGTAAGATACAATCCAAGCACTTCTGATAGATGGCCAATCAGCCTCTGTTTAAAGAGGACCAGAGAAGTATACACTACCACACTTTGGGGCAGCATATCCCACTAGTTGTCAGTGACTCAGGCTAGGGGCTTACCTTCTCCCACAAAGAAGTCTCTTGTGGCTTGTATGGCCAGTTCAGCAGCTTGCTTGTGTAACTGATAGTGTGGAGAAAATTTGGGGTCTGAAGTCTCTTTGTTGATACCACCCGTCATAGCAAAATCCTGGGTCGCATCATTTCTCCCACCATGTCCACATTTGTCTGCAGAAATAATATGAGAATGAGATGTTGTTGATGATGAGAATAATGTTATTTATATCCCACTACTCTCCCAAGATCCAGACTCAAAAGCAGTTTACAATTTTTAAAAAGGAGTGTAAATTGGAGATCCTCAAACTATGGCCCACTGGCCAGATATGGCCCACCAGGGTCATTTGCCCCCTTGTCTGTCTGTCTCTCTGTTTGTTTATTTATCTATCTCCCCGGCCCAACTCTCTCCAAGTTGTGACAAGTGCTCTTACCTGTTAATTTCTTCCTGCATGTTCTTGATGTGAAGAAGCCACTTGTGAGCATGTCTTTCACTATCAGGTTTTGATCACATGAATATCCGCCACTGTTAAACAAAGAGATAGGTTGTCGAAGGCTTTCACTGAGTTTTTGTAGGTTTTTCGAGCTATATGGCCATGTCCTAGAAACATTTTCTTCTGACGTTTCGCCCACATCTATGGCTGGCATCCTCAGAGGTTATGAGGACTCACAACCTTTGAGGGTGCCTGCCATAGATGCAGGCGAAACATCAGAAGAGAATGCTTCTAGAACATGACCATATAGCCCAAAAAACCTACAGCAACCCAAACAGATAGACAAAGAGGATTGATATCCCAGGCTAGGTGGTTTGCTCATCCCAAATGACACCTTTAAAACATTTAAAATAATAATACACCACAAATACTTGTGTATAAGTAGATCTCATTTATAAGGTTCAGTTCCAAAATTATGGCTTTTGCTATGACCTATGGATACGTCAAGGGTAAGAAGCAAAACTTTTCATCTCCTTGTAAAAACACATAAAAGCAACATACTGAGTAAGACCTCTCCTACACTGCCATAAAAATCCAGATTATCCACTTTGAATTGGAATATATGGAAGTGTAGACTCATATAACCCAGTTTAATCGGATACTGTGAATGGTCTGCTTTGATAACGTACTAAAGCTAAAGAGAAGGAGAGCATCTATTTGTCTGAGGGATCACAGTGGTGGATGCTGTTATCCCCCTCCTCCCGTCATCATTGTCAATGGCCGTATTTTTCTCAAATTAGCCTTGTATTGGACTTACCCTGGTTCTTTGATACAGTCGACACATGTTTGCGTGGTTTTTGGAGTAACTGGAAAGGCCGGACTGGCTTCATTTACTGTGAGGCAAAAAGAAAAAGGAGAAATTCCACTTTAGAGAAACAATTGGATAGCACTTTCTTCTGAAATTTAGCTGACTTTAGGGTCCTTTTGTAGTTAAAAAAAGTACATACAAACATGGGACAGAGATTTTAACAATTTGCTCAATAACAGAACCAAACTGTTTTTTTCTTGGTGTCTCAGTTATTAAGTCAATTTCTGGAATTCTTTGGCGCACTGATTCAGAAAATTGAATTGGATTTATTTATTTATTTATTTATTTATATCATTTTTACCCCGCCCATATCAGCCCTAAGGTGACTCAGGGCGGCGAACAATTGGCACAATTCGATGCCATACATAAAATACAGGAGAACTCTCAGAAATATGACCTCACAATGTACTTTAATACTGACTTAGGATGGACTGTGCTCCCTCGTTTCTCTCCGAAAAATCCTATCCTAGTTATATTTTACCTTGTTTACGTCAGTATATTTTGAATTTTAATCTCTTACATTTGGCCTGGCCATTTTTAAAATTGTTTATGTCACTATTGATTGTTTTTTTGTTTATGTGATTTATATGATTTGTATTTTATTGTTTACTGATGTTGTGTTTATAGATGTTTTGTTTGATGTACTTTGGGCTTGGCCTCATGTAAGCCGCACCGAGTCCCTTGGGGAGATGGTAGCGGGGTACAAATAAAGATTATTATTATTATTATTATTATTATTATACATACATACATACATCAATAACAAATAAAACATCACATTACAATTTATCTAAAAACAGCAAAACAGTGAACAATAAAATTTTTTAAACTATGTCGTCATATTCAGTCCTCATTCGTTCTGTCGTCTTAGCTGTTCCTAGGTCGTTTTCCAATTCAGGTTTATCTGATTAAGCTGAGGCTCCAAAAGCTTGCTCAAATAACATCAGTTCAAGTTTTTTTTTAAAGATATGGTTATTGTGATTGTCTATGGGTGAGCAGATAGTGGCTGGTAGATTGCATATGTTTTTAACCAAAAGAACTAGAAAGGATAGGGGGAAACCGGTGCCATTTTTTGTAATCAGCAGGTCAAATATACCCAAAAACAGGGCTAATATTGGCAGCATCAAAATGTTGTTAGCTAGTAAAATAATACAAAGGCACCTTCTGCACTTCTTTCGATCCTTTTTACAGATTTACAGTATGTTCTTCTGTGGAAAGTAATTGGAAAGTGCTACATATGATTAAGCTCATTTATTGGACCATGATGTGAGAAAGCTGTATCTGATTTAAAAAAACAAATTTTAAAAGAATACCTATTGAAAAGCATTTTGCCCTTGTATTTAAAAGATGCATGTAACTATGTTTTAGTATAGTAAAGGTAAAGGTTTCTCCTGACATTAAGTCTAGTCATGTCTGACTCTGGAGGGTGGGGATGCTCACCTCAATTTCTAAGCTGAAGAGCCAGCGTTGTCTGCAGACGCCTCCAAGATCATGTGGCCAGCATGACTGCATGGAGCACCGTTAGCTTCCCGCAGAAGCAGTACCTATTGATCTACTCACATTTGCATGTTTTTGAACTGCTAGGTTGACAGAAGCTGGGTCTAACAGTGGGAGCTCACCACGCTCCCCAGATTCGAACTTCCAACCTTTTGGTCAGCAAGTTCAGCAGCTCAGCAGTTTAACGCACTGCGCCACCAGGGGGCCATGTTTTAGTATAGCAGAACATATTTGCAATATGTTTTAACCACCCAGAGCAGTTAGGATGAAATCGGAAGAGTATATCAAATGCATCATTGTTATTGTTATTGTTACTGTTATTGTTTTTTTTTTTACAAAACAATAATATAATATATAATATAAAGAGAAATCCTTCTCTTTATATTAGATGTTGGGAAGAAAATATGGTCAAGCTCATTCCTGGTTTTCTGTACAACTTACACAGGTATTCATAAGGCTTGCTGTTTCCCATTTCAACCCAGTTGGTGTTGCTGTAGAATTTCTGGAGGATATGGAGGGCTTTCCCAGCACTCTCGCGAGCTGATTGCAAAGCAGACAAAGTTGGAGAACCTTTCAGACTAGACAGCATGGAGTCCCTCTGGATTCGAAGTTGGGTGATACCTAGAAATTGATAACATGGAAGAATTTGTTGATACCAATTCCTCCATCTTTTCATTCAAACATGAAAAGGACCAGGCAGTATTTCAGTCTGGAATAGCATTTACTGCTCTGGTCCTAGATTTAGGATCTTATCACATTGAGATATACTCCATTTATATCAGTATGTATTCCGTATTTTTAAGGACTGGATGAATACTGTATCAGATGCATACTGACCCCCATCACATTAAATTCTTATGTTTAGAAAATAGTGTTTTGATTCATTGCACTATGATAGGCTGGCTCATCCCAATCCATTCAAACATCATCCCCCTTAATATTGTGCAGTGATGTACTCTGGAAATCTCAAACTATTGTCCTTGTGAGAATTTAGGTGACGGAATGCGTACTGATTTTAAAGTCACATATAAAAACAATGGGTTGCTGTGAGTTTTCCAGGCTGCATGGCCATGTTCCAGAAGCACTCTCTTCTGATGTGTTGCCCACATCTATGGCAGGCATCCTCAGAGGTTGTGAGATCTGTTGGAAACTAGGAAAATGGGATTTATATATCTGTGGAATATCCAGGGTGGGAGAAAGAACTCTTGTCTTCTTGAGGCAAGTGTGAATGTTGCAATTGGTCACTTTGATTAGCATTTAATGACACTGTAGCTTCAAAGCTTCGCTGATTGGAAATCAATAAGACACGACAACCATTCCAGTTCACAACTGGATTCTTCCTTGCACCCAACCCTAAGAAGTGATCTTCCAAGGCAGGCCCGTAGCCAGGATTTCGATTGGGGGGGGGGAGGGGGCTGAGTTTGTTTCAGGGGGGGGGGCTGAGTCTGAGTGAAAGAGGGTCTACCCTAGTAAACCTTTTGTATCGTTACCCCAATACCCCCATGCATATAGGATATATTGAATAGGGTGATCAGATCATGATATAAATAAACGTAACAGTTTAAATAATGCACCAGTAAGGCCTTTTCGCGAACCACCATGAGAATTTCGGGGGGGGGGGGGGGGCTGAAGCCCCTCAAGTCCCCCCCCCCCGGCTACATGCCTGCTCCAAAGTCCACAGCACCCCTGAACACCTGCTTACTTTTTGGGATCTCTTCACAGTAGAAGAAGAAGTCACTGTCCTCTCTGTGGCGGGTCTCCACAAGATTATTCCCATTGATAATTTCTTGAAGGGCTTTCGTGAAACGACTGGGAGAGACATCAGCTGGGCAAGGAAAAAAAAAGGTGGGGCACAGGTCATGTTATCGAAACACTAAATCCATAAATGCAAACTTACATTTTTTTACAAACTAGATTGATGTACAGGAAGAGCGATCAGGACCCTGCATCAAAGCCTCTTGGTGATCCTGAGTGAGTCACATACTCTCAGCTCTAAAACCCTAATGAACTGTTCACCTTATGACTGTCATAAGTCTTAAATTAAATAACTTGAAGGCCCAGAACAAGGTAGGGTGGTAAGGATAGACAAGGATCTCTGAGCAGAAAAGAAAACAACATTGCAAGGCATAAGAAAATATGTCATAATGAATTAGGGTGTGCCGAGAGGGAGATTTCCAGATTTTTAGGGGAAGATTATGGGACAAGGTCCATGCATGATGACATCCAGCTCACCAAGAAGGGGGCAGTAAAATCCAGTAAGTCAGTGCCGGTTGCCTGTGCCTCACAGTACAGGGATTGGAGCAATGAGTTTCAGTATAAGATCTGACCTAGTTCATTAAACTTACTTTTTCTGGACCATAGAAAGTAACTTTTCCAAACTTTCCTGCTTCCCATCCCACCACATGGAGCCCCTGGTGACGCAATGGGTTAAACCCTTGTGCCGGCAGGACTGAAGACCGACAGGTTGCAGGTTCGAATCTGGGGAGAGCGCAGATGAGCTCCCTCTGTCAGCTCCGACTCCCCATGCAGGGACATGAGAGAAGCCTCCCACAAGGATGGTAAAACATCAAAACATCCGGGCGTCCCCTGGGCAACGTCCTTGCAGACGGCCAATTCTCTCATACGAGAAGCAACTTGCAGTTTCTCAAGTCGCTCCTGACACAGAAAAAAAAAAATCCCACCACATAGAGAAGAAAACAACCAAAATTCACAACAGGTGTAAAGTGTGAATCTCCAGGAAGACAATGAGGATGAGTTGCCAGGAGCCTGGAAAGTCCTCATATCATCTTTTCTCTCCACCTACCTTGGAAATAGGCCTTGAAGAGCCCACTGGCAGTCAGTGGCTTCATGTTTTCCAGCATCCCTGGGGTTGTGGCTGGTTTTCCGGGCAGAGGGTTCTTCTCCATGTACGATGCCACGGCCCGAAGCACCCCCATCTCTGTAATATCAGCATCCGTAAAATCACTTGCAATCCCACCCGATTCATGATTGGGAAGGAATCCATTCACAATGCTTAGACAGAGGAGCAGAGGGAAATTTCTGGGGAGAAGCATTTTTTCTTCTTTTTGCAACAGGGATCAGATGAAAGACAGAGAAGGGACAGATCCTCCGGTCTCTATTGATGTGCCTGCCAGTTTGCCTTTGACAGTGAAGTGTGGTGCTCGCCCTTCCAGATAAATAGCAGAGGCAGCTCTCAGGGAACCCGCCTACCTGCTCACTTTTTTCTTTGTTTTTTCTTTTTTGCCTTATGATTTTAGGCATTTTGATTGCTGCCATGAAATTTAAGATGACACAAAGTCATTCTTCCCACACAACCCAGCTGCACAAGCTGCTGTTACTCTGAATTGGCATCCTACATTGCAGCTCAGATTACCTAAATGTGGTTATGAATTCTCCAGAATTATTGTGTGCTTTCAAGTGCTTTGAATGCAATTTTTCTGCTTCTTGGCAGGGGGTTTGGACTGGATGGTCTAGGAGGTCTCTTCCAACTCTGTGATTCTAAGTCCTTTACACTTATGGTGAACTTATAATGGGATTTTCCGGGCCTAAGATACTGTGACTTGGCCAAGGTTACCTAGTGGAATTGAGAAGACAATTATGCTGGGGAAGGTGGAAGGTAAAAGGAAGAGGGGCCGACCAAGGGCAAGATGGATGGATGGCATCCTTGAAGTGACTGGACTGTCCTTGAAGAAGCTGGGGGTGGTGACGGCCGTCAGGGAGCTCTGGCGTGGGCTGGTCCGTGAGGTCACGAAGAGTCGGAGACGGCTGAACAAATGAACAACAACAACAACCTAGTGAAATTACATGATAGACTGGGAAACTGACTCCTGTTCTACAGAGTTGAAGGCCAACATTCAAATCACTATGGATCGAAGTGGAAACAAATTCATGGGACTTGTATTTGTGGTTTCATTTATCCACATCTGACAAAATATGTCATTTCCAGGCATTTTCTAGGTCCTGCAGCATGACTCCGTATTATTCTTGGTCTGGAAGTCCTTTATTTCAATAGTATTGTCTATTATTCATGGTTTCACATATAAATGTGAAGTCCAGGAATAGTTCTTCTGCAAATAAGTGGACCTTACAACAACAAATGGACATATAGCACCCATTAAAATTAATAACCCTGTTAAAATAAAACAGTATCTGTTGGGGTGATTTGATTGTGCTCTTCCTGCATGGCAGGGGGGTTGGACTAGATGGCCCATGTTGTCTTTTCTAACTCTATGATTCTGTGTTCAGTTAAAGCAGTACAACCAGTTAAAAGAACATCTCTATATAAATAAAAATGTAATGTTCATTTGTGGGATTAACAGAACTCAAAAACCACTGGACGAATTGCCGCCAAATTTGGACACAAGACCAAATTTGTGACCATCATTAAAAAATGATTTTGTCATTTGGGAGTTGTAGTTGCTGGGATTTATAGTTTACTTACAATCAAAAAGCATTCTGAACTCCACCAATGATGGAATTGAACCAAACGTGGCACACAGGACTCCCATGACCAACAGAAAACACTAGAAGGGTTTGGTGGGCATTGACCTTGAGTTTGGGAGTTGTAGTTCACCTACATCCAGAGAGCACTGTGGACTCAAACAGTGATAGATCTGGACCAAACTTTGATACTCAAAACGCCCAAATATGAACACAGATGGAGTTTGGGGGGAAACAGACTTTGACATTTGGGAGTTGTTCTTACTTAGATTTATAGTTCACCAACAATCAGAGAGCATTCTGAAGCCCACAAACAACAGAATTGGGGCAGATTTCCCACACAGAACCCCCATGACCAACAGAAAATACTCCTGACAAAGAGAGTGGCAAGAAAACATAATCAAAGCTCTCCTGACAAAGAGCATCCAGCCGTAGATATAGATAGATAGATAGATAGATAGATAGATAGATAGATATGATTCACACACATAGAGATATAGTATGATAGATTTGAAAGGAACCCCTAAAGAAGGACAATTATATGTTGCATGTTCCAGAGTAGGCAAACCAGACAATTTCCACATCAACACTGACAAAGTAACAGCAAGAAATACTGTTTACCCAACAAGCATAAAGAAATTACATATATTAGAAATCAGCACTTTCTCATTACTCTATTTCCCAGATCACCTGACTGGGCCACAGCAGGGGACGGCTAGTACATAATAAAAACAATTGATTCATCATTTAAAACACATAATTCACAGTTATCTTGATACGTTTAATGGAAGAGATTGGCAAGTAATACTGTTTTAAGACTTTATCACATATAACAACAACAACAACAACAACAACAAAAACAACAACAACACCTGGTTATGGCTCACAAATTGAACACTGAAGAAGGAACTGGTGCTTGGCAGCTGTGTCAGACTGGATGAGGGCTAAGAAATGGAAATTCAATCCAGACAAGACAGAGATCATCCTGGTCAGTTGAAAGACCGAACAGGCCATAGAGTTACTGCCAGTGTTGGACGGGGTTACACTCCCCCCGAAGATGCAGGTTTGCAGCTTGGGAGCAATCCTGGATTCATTGGAAACTCCAGTTAATCCAACGGGTGGCAGCCAGATTATGGAATGGAGCAACATTTCATAATCACAAAAAGAAAGTCATCTTCAACCTCAGCAAGATGGAGTGGATGAGGGATTTGAGGACATCCAACCCCAAATTGGGAAACAAGTCGTCCAGGAATACCTGGCTGCTCTAAATGAGTTCAAGTCCCCAGGGCCAGATCAACTACACCCAAGAGTATTGAAGGAACTAGCGGAAGTCATTTCGGAACCATTGGCAATCATCTTTGAGAGTTCTTGGAGAACGGGAGAAGTTCCAGCAGATTGGAGGAGGGCCAATGTGGTCCCAATCTTCAAGAAGGGAAAAAAGGATGACCCAAACAATTACCGTCTGATCATCCTCACGTCGATACCAGGCAAGATTCTGGAAAAGATTGTTAAGGAAGCGGTCTGCAAACACTTAGAAACAAATGCGGTCATCGCTAATAGTCAACATGGATTTATCAAAAACAAGTCATGCCAAACTAATCTGATCTCTTTCTTCGATAGAGCTACAAGCTGGGTAGATGCGGGGAATGCCGTGGATGTAGCGTACCTGGATTTCAGTAAGGCCTTCGACAAGGTCCCCCATGACCTTCTGGCAAGGAAACTAGTCCAATGTGGGCTAGGCAAAACTACGGTGAGGTGGATCTGTAATTGGTTAAATGGACGAACCCAGGGGGTGCTCACCAATGCTTCCTCTTCATCTTGGAAAGAAGTGACGAGCGGAGTGCCGCAGGGTTCCGTCCTGGGCCCGGTCCTGTTCAACATCTTTATTAATGACTTAGATGAAGGGCTAGAAGGCATGATCATCAAGTTTGCAGATGACACCAAATTGGGAGGGAGAGCCAATAGTCCAGAGGACAGGAGCAGGATTCAAAACGATCTTGACAGATTAGAGAGATGGGCCAAAACTAACAAAATGAAGTTCAACAGTGACAAATGCAAGATACTCCACTTTGGCAGGAAAAACGAAATGCAAAGATACAAAATGTGGGACGCCTGGCTTGAGAGCAGTACGCGTGAAAAAGATCTTGGAGTCCTTGTGGACAACAAGTTAAACATGAGCCAACAATGTGATGTGGCAGCAAAAAAAGCCAATGGGATTTTGGCCTGCATCAATAGGAGCATAGTGTCTAGATCTAGGGAAGTAATGCTACCCCTCTATTCTGCTTTGGTTAGACCACATTTATTTATTTATTTATTTATTTATTTATTTATTTAATACACTTGTATACCGCTAATATCTCAGCCTGGATCGGCGACTCATTGCGGTTTACAGCAATTAAAAAAAACAGTCTCCAATTTAAAAGCATATACACATACAGTACAGGTTATTGGGCCACCAATAATAATCCCATATATCTCGAATTAAAATCATAATCCAGAATTCGTTGTCCATATTTCCTGTCCTTAGTCATCAAAATTCGATTGCCACAGATTAGCCGAATGCTTGTTTAAACAACCATGTTTTCAATCTCTTCCTAAACACCATCAGCGAAGAGGCTGATCGTACCTCTATAGGGAGGGTGTTCCAAAGCCGGGGGGCCACCACAGAGAAGGCCCTGTCTCTCGTTCCCGCCAGCCGCACTTCTGAAGCTGGAGGGATAGAGAGAAGGGACTCTCCAGAAGATCTTAGGGTCCTGGTGGGCTGATAGGCTGAGATACGTTCGGATAGATAAGTGGAATATTGGAATATTGTGGAATAATAATAATAATCTGGAATATTGTGTCCAATTCTGGGCACCACAATTCAAGAGAGATGTTGACAAGCTGGAATGTGTCCAGAGGAGGGCGACTAAAATGATCAAGGGTCTGGAGAACAAGCCCTATGAGGAGCGGCTTAAGGAGCTGGGCATGTTTAGCCTGAAGAAGAGAAGGCTGAGAGGAGATATGATAGCCATGTATAAATATGTGAGAGGAAGCCACAGGGAGGAAGGAGCAAGCTTGTTTTCTGCTTCCTTGGAGACTAGGACGCGGAACAATGGCTTCAAACTACAAGAGAGGAGATTCCATCTGAACACGAGGAAGAATTTCCTGACTGTGAGAGCTGTTCAGCAGTGGAACTCTCTGCCCCGGATTGTGGTGGAGGCTCCTTCTTTGGAAGCTTTTAAACAGAGGCTGGATGGCCATCTGTCAGGGGTGATTTGAATGAAATATTCCTGCTTCTTGGCAGAGGGTTGGACTGGATGGCCCATGAGGTCTCTTCCAACTCTTTGATTCTATGATTCTATGATTCTGTGAACATACAGGGAGCACACCACACCCCTGTTGTGTCAGCTCCACTGGCTGCTGGACCACTTCTGAGCACAATTCAACATGCTGGTCTTGACCTCTAAAACCCTATACAGTTCCCGCCCAGCTTACTTGTCCAAATGCATCTCCCTCTACGTTCCACCTTGCAGTATAAGATCATCTGGGGAGGCCCTGCTCTGGTTCCCACCAGCTTCGCAAATGTTTTTGGCGGGGATGAGAGAAAGAGCCTTTTCAGCTGTGGCTCTACGCCTGTGGAACTCACTTCCCAGTGAGATAAGATAAGATAACCCATGAAAACATGC